CGGCACGGGGCCGAGGCTGGTCCAGCTGATCCAGCGCCCGACCGCCCGGTCCAGCCGAGCCGGCGGTCCGGCCAGTCAGTGAACCGGCCGGTTCGACCGGCGGTTCGAGTCTGTTTTGGTTCGTGACTTCCGGTCCGAGTCTATTTTCGGAATTTTAGTATTTTTCCGAGCCAGTCCAGTCCAGTTTAATCGCGTAAATAAGTCTGAGCATTTTAGCATATAATTTATTATTCTGAGCATTATACTTAGCATTATTTTGCTTAAATATTTATGTAGCCTAAGGAGAGTCGAGCCTCCGACCGCTACCCAGTATCAACACTTGCATCAGATTCCAAGTTTTCAGGTGGGGGTCATGTACTGGATTCAACATCATAGATAATATCTGTACCATGGCAGAGGTATGTTTGAGACAGTTAGTATCCATGTGGGGGCCGACCTAAGGGCTTAAATATCCCATCTGATGGACAGTTATACCCCATCGGCGTGTGCACACGAGCGGCCGACCTAAGGGCCGAGGGTCTTTTGACCACAGAAAAGAAAGAAAAGAAAAGTTTACAGTTTCAGCTCTTACATATTTTTGTTCATGACACGTTATTATAGATGATGTTTTATTCAGTACTGGTCTTTGCGGAGCATAGTGGTTTGCTCACGCCCCCATTGTGTTTTTTAAGAGACGGAGTCGAGCGTGCCGGATGAGCACAGATGTGGCGAAGCGTGGTCATGAGAGTTGGGCATATTTTACGCACATTTTTATGTCCTAGTTAATGATCATGTATTTGATTCAGTTATGTATGCATGTATTCTGTATTTCGGATGCTTCCGCTAGCAGACTAGACAATGCGATACAGTTCAGACATTGCATGTTTAATTCCATTATCCGCAGCGGATAGCTTGGTTGCATGTTTCCTTTATGTCTGTGAGCAAGTTAAGTAAAGTTTTTATCTGTGACATCCCGCAACAAGTTAGTGTTTTCGAAAATCAAGCTCGCACCACCTTTCGAAAACAAAAGCGGAAATTTTACTCTGATTTTTTTCAAAGCTAGTAAGGCGGGGTGCCACTGAAGGTGGTATCAGAGCGCAGAGTGCGTTTCTGTATACTTTTAAAGTTTAGAAAAGCATAACCACGCCACGCTCATCCGCACCGACTCCAAGGTAAGTCACCTGACTCAGTTTAAATTTGCAAGTGCTAAATTCAGTTCAAGTACGGGGCCTAGATGACTATCCTCCTATAAGACAGATAACTCTAGAGACAGAACTCTAGACAGAACTCTAGAACAGCTAAGTCCAAGGACTCTAGACTAAGTCAGAACTCCATTACGAGCCAGAACATAGAAAGTTTAAGTATACCGGAACTCTAGCCAAGCTAGGTGTTTTCGGATACTTATTATTTATTTTATTATTTCAAGTCTAGTATGGCTATTTCTTAATTGGCTATACTAATCAATTCAAGTATAATTGGATCTTCAGAATGCCGCCACATAGAGATCCCCAGGCACCAGTTGAGCAGGACCAGGCTGTTGTGGTCAGTCGATTCTGTACCTATGATCCACCCCGTTTCACTGGGGAGAGTGGCCCGTTAGCCGTGTCCGAGTGGATCCGGAAGATGGAGAGGATCTTCCGTATTATGGGGATTTCTGAGGCACACAAGATGGCATGCGCCGAACTGCAGATAGAGGGAGCCGCTGGAGACTGGTGGGAGGATTACTGACATCTACGCACTGAGGATGAGCGTGACGCTATGGGATGGGCTCAGTTTAAGACGATATTGGAGGACAAGTTCCATCCTCGCCATTTCAAGCAGAGGATGGCACGGGAGTTTGCCGCTCTGTAATGCCCCAAATCAGTAATAATATTCAGAACGGTTTCACTGCTCGACTATAAGTGAAATCCATAATTTTCAGAAATTCCCGAGTTATATTATTTATGCTAAATGCTCAAACATGATAAATTACTCTTTGAATAATTTTATCTCAAGTATAAGTTAAGATTAATCCATTAATTTGCGTTGTTAAATATAGCAAATCGATTCGAGAATTTATTTGGTTCGAACTCTAGTGTTGGTTCCGAGTTATTTCTCTAGTCATTCTCGAGCCTAGCCAAATATTGGTATTTTATACTTAGAATAATTTTCTAAGTGTGTTAGAATATCAAGAACAAATCTTGGATATTTTTATAATCGAGCCCTAGTCGAGCCCGTGCCCGAGCCTTGGACCCGCGCCATTAGCCGTGCCCATGCACCCTACCGAGCCCAAGGCTTCACCTAAGCCTAGCACATCACATCCAAAAATTTTCTAAGTATGGAGAGATTGTTTTCCAACTCTTGTACTCGGCCCAAAGGCAAGGACCCGCGCAGCACGAGCCCAACAGCTTTCCCGCGCCTAGCCCGCGTCCCCGCGCCTAGGGCCCAGCGCCCAGCCCAGCGGCAGCATGTACTAGCCCACTTCTTGAGCCCATTTCTTGTATTTTCGGCCCAAAACCTCCATGACCCACCCGACTTCTGCATCAAGGTTCCGCTCTCAAACCATCATATTCCTGAGAATATATCCCATTTGAAATAGTGCTTCCTGCCCTTGCCTAATAGCTTTTAGGATGCCCCTATCTTCCTCTGTACTAAGGTGCTATCGTATAGTTTAGAAGGTAGGAGCAAGAGTGATAAGACTTTATTTTCGACGTGGCCCACCAGTGTAGCAGGAAGAGGTTTGGAACCCAACAAACTTTTCGAAGCGAAGTGATCCGCTATTTGCATGTTTTCGGGAATCATTGGACATGTTTGCGACGTGAATCGAGGCTAGGTACCTAGGACTAATTCCACAGTAGAAAGGGCTATGCGCACCAGCCCGCCCTTAGAATCCTGATTCATGCTTCTTCCTTGTTGGTTTGCTTGACTGATTGGAACCGATGCTATGAAACCTCGGCGAGACTGCACCATCAATCCCTGTCGAAACAATGACATAAACCTCCTCACAGGAAATCCGAGAAGGGAGGACCGTACTACGTCTCTCATGAGAACCCAGGACGGTCAGAAAAAAATAGAACAGTCTCATTGGCCTTGCCTCCTCCTTCCCGCCCACACCTTCATTCGACAAAATGACCTCAGCTCCCGACCTTTTGATCAGACGTGGATTTGGGCGGTTTCGCTCCTCTATTGTGGAATCGGTGCTTGCACAGTTCGTGACCACTATCTATGCTCAATTACACCTTTCCTTCACTTCTAAAGTTCCTTTCTTCTTCCTTGTTTGCATCTCCAGAGAGGAAAGGGAAGGTAAGCCGAGGTTTCTCGCTATGTCAGATCGACAGTAAGACCTGTTCGTTCCTCTGCTGTCTTGTTCTGACCCGATTTCCGAAAGGGTGCAAAAAGAGGGAGATTTTGGCTTCGGTTTTGCCATTGGGGTCAGAAAAGGCGGGAGAAGCCTCTAGGTGTGTTGACAAAGGATGGGATTGCTAGAAGGGAAGCAGCAAGAAAACGGATGCGCGTTAGCGCAACGGCTTTCGCGCTAGTTGCTCAATCCGCTGAAAATTGATGATATTTGGTGTACAGACGCAATTTCTATGGGGAGGTGGCATTCATCTAGTTAACTGGGCGAGGCTGAGAAGGGCTCCAGATTCGCCGACCGATCCCAGTTCGGCTAACACGAGGCAATGTATATTGTTTTAAGTGGTGATCCAACTCTTAATTAAATAATGGGGACGAGTAGGACCTTCTTTCGGAATCTTCGCTATGGAACCTGACCTAGGAGTCGAAACTACCCCTGGCATCTCCAACTGAATACTACGCCTACGGTACGGGGGAATCAGTCAATCCCTGGTTCTATTTTGTTAAAGTCCCCAGGGATATCTCGTAAGGAAGGAATCGCCCATAACAGCAGGATTTTGGCAAATAGTATCAGACACCAAAGGCAAGGACTGACAAGCGGCTGTAGAATCACTAACAACTCTGAGTTAAGCAAGGGACTTTGAATGCCTTGAAAGCTCTTTCAACAGGGTGGGCAAAAGCCCAGTCTCAACTCAAGTCAAAAAAGTAAATTCAAGAGTAGTACAATAAACTTAAAGGAAGGCAATGCACCAGGCAAGAAGCCGCTTACTACCAATAAGACGATCGAGAAGGGTTCACCGAACTATTACTCGCGCTACAACCGAAACTGTCTGGGGTGGAACTATTACTCGCGCTACAACCGCTTACTACCAAGACTTCCAATTTCAGTTCTGGGGTGGAACTATCTAACCGAGCGAGAGGGCTCCTTCCCTTCTATATCTATCTTGACCGGGAAGAGAAGCAAGCCCAGCGGGCCCTGCCTTAACCTGTCCCCAGACAGCCAACCCTCACTAGGCTGCTGGCATTGCGTCATGCTCCGCCACGAAGCAAGCTCTCCCGAATACGACAGATGCGGAAAAGTGGCTAAAGAAGTCGGAGAAAGAAAGTAGTTGGGCAACTGTATGCACGAGGGTACATTAGTATTCTCGGAATTGGCAACATTGACAGAAAGGGGAAGAAAAGTAGGTAGGAAGAAAGTTTTTTAGGTGTAGTAAAGTAAGTAGTCGGCCTAACCTTCGGTTCCCGTAACCAAGTTTTTCTTTCTTACTCCTTATGTATTTTTTCTTACTTAAGTAATACTAGAAGTGTGGGGCAAAGGTTCGATGTAATTGTCTCGACCATACAAACTTTTCGAAGCGAAGTGAAGTCATAGAAAGAAAAAGCAGGATTGCTTGAATGGAAAGAACAAAACGGAAAGGACAACCAAACGAAAGCGCTAACAGCAGAGGGCTCTATCTATATATAGTATAGAGAGCTTACCGGACGAAACCAGGCCTTTAATTAAGGCTGGAGTAGAAGGGATAGTAGGCACGAGAGCTGCTAGTATTAGAGCACCAGCCCTCATCGAGACAAGAGACCATACATTAACTATGGCAAGAACATTCAATGGTCTGCGATCTCCCTTCCTCAAAGAAAGGAGAAGAAGCTATCGACCAGTGTCTTCTAGAAAGAGTATAAAAAAAATAACATCGGCCAAAAAAAAGTCAATCAACGAAGCCGGTAAGAAAGAGAATTTCAAAAATTCACCTGTGAAAAAATTTCAATCTTGTTTGTGTTCCAGGAAAAAAAAGGGTTGATGGATGAAGCGATGAAAGATAAGTGGGACTTTCAAGCAAGGCCGGCATGGGCTACGTGATCCCCTAAGACCTTCCACTATTCTTATATTGATCTTGGTTCGGCGGGTCACTGTCGTCATCGAGGAGGCCGGTCTGTTCTGGCTACCAGTCAGTAGCTAACCGAGACCCCTGTAGCTAGCTCTTTTTTCTGTTTTCACGAATCCTGTGAACGAATCCTAGTTAGTTAGCTTGGCGCTAGGAGTTGTCTAATCAAAAGACGTAAAAGCAATTGTTATAATTTCATCCGTATCTGGCTTGATGGCTGCTTTCTTTCAAGGGTGGATTGCTTTTCAATGCCGTCTTTCGGCAAAGGGAATTTTCTTCAACAAAGTCTCCCCCCCCACTAGCCGGCTCGCCAAGTCTTGCTGCTGTCAGGTCTTGAGCTCTTGTACCGAGATCCGTAAAAGAAAGGGCTTGCTTCGGGTGAGGATTCTTTCGAAAGGCATTGAACTGATTCCATGGCTAGACCGATTCGAATGCTTACGGGATGGACCAAGGAATCAGCTCTTGCCAGAGTTGCTTTCCGTGGAATAGCCTTTATCTCATCGCCAATCGCCGGGTGATTTCACTCAAAACGAATTGAATCTTTTGCCCCTCGAGAACTCAAAAGCACCACACCCTTAAGAACAAGGGCCTCTTAGTTCAGTCTTCCCGAAAGCTATTAAAGGGAGTACCTGAAGGCATCAATGAATCTAATTAATGGAGTATGCAAGAACTCTAGTTGAATTGACCGTTCACTCATAGGTGGCTGCGAACAAGGACATGGAAGCCAATGCTGTCTTAGCTGCTCTTGCTGCCAACGACTCCGATGCCGTTTAATTTCTTGGAGTAAGCGCTTTATGAAAAGGCGTAGCTGCAATTGGGCTTCGGCTTGTACTTTCATCGATCTTGCCTTGGCGTTGATCCGAAGGGGGGAGATTGCTCTTTCTCCTCCGTTAACAGACTAGGCTAAGAAAGCATAAAATACCGATCTTATCACCACTTTCTCTTTGCTTTGAAGGAAGAAGGGCTGTGTTTAAGATTTCATCAGGTGCTATGTTAATAGCCCTCTTGTTATTACCGCTGTCCTTTTTCGTGGGGGATCTAAGCCTCGATCTCTCTATCACTCCTTATCTCATTTGCTTCCTTTACCTTACATCGTGCAAAGAGTCATTCTGAGGAATGGAAGAACAGCTTCTTCTCAACCTCCCTTTGGGAAGTAAGGAAGTATGGTAAATAGCCTTTTTTTCTTTTCTTATTTCTTGCCCTGAGCTCTATCAATTCCCTTTCATCCAGTCGGGGCCCATGGCTATTGCGCCTAACCTTTTTAATTGAACTGCTCTGCACCTGAAAGTGGTTGAGTTTCAAGGGTATGATGAGTCAGGCTCGATGTAATTGACCTAAGCTGAGCTTTCTTTCATAGCTTTTGCTGGAAACAAAGACAGACTTCAAATCGTCCTATAGTCATCGGGGGAACTTCCTCTCTAAAGGATCATGTTCCCCCTTCTCTATTTCTTCTTTTGGTTCTGAGTCGGCGTAGGTGCCGATCTTCTGACCCATTCAGTCGGGACGTTCCTTCTTACATCATTCTATGTCATTTCCATTTCATGTTCACAGCACCCATCTCGGGTAGACAGTTTAGATTCTTTGAAAGCTATTATGGCAGGGGGAGATGACATGAGCTTAGAGGAATCGAATTGCCCTAGCCTATACCTCTATTCGATGCAGGGGACTTCTCTCGTCAGCCTAAAGCAGGCACAGAGTACTATACTATTAATAAATTGACTATCTAAATAAGGTTGTTTTCAAGCCAAGAAGAAGGACTTCGCCTTCGCGGATCTAACGGCAAGGGAATCAACAGAGTTAAAAGCACTTTCCCGGGATAGAACTCTCAGGATGAATGGCAGGGGCGGGGGATTGAAAATCTCGTTTGAGTAGGTGAGAAGTATCCGGCTTTCTTTCGATTTGTTGTGGATTGGATGATGGAAAAACCTGCAAGTAGGGTCTTGCCTAGGTTGAACATGCAACTAAAGGGCATAGCTATGTAAAAGCAAGGTTTGCTCCAGCCGTCAAAATGATCCCAGACCTGTCTGACCTACCGTTAGCTTTTTGCTATCGCAGTACTACAGGTAAGGACAGGTGGCATAGCGCAGTCCTCACCGATGTGAGTGACTGGACACCATATCTCGACCAGCTCGTCCCAACGGAGCAAAGGCCTCCTCAGCGGGAAATCCTAACATGAATACAAACGGTAGGTATTTAAGAGGAGCCCAAAGGCTCTCTCTATGAAATCCTATGGTCATATCTTTATTCTAAGGGTTATAGAACTCTCTTTTTGGCAAGCATTAAGCCGTCGAATTACCGACTCTATAAGCTTCTGCGTGCCTCAATTACATCGACCCTAACACATTCAACTACCAAAGGCGAGAGAAGGAAGAACTTTTTTAAGGCGTGCCCCGGATGTCCAATCACCAGAAAAGGGAAGATGGGCCGAAGACGCTACTAAAGATCTTCCTCTCTTTTTCTTCACTTCGCTTCGCTTCTAAGTTGGGTAAAAAGATGCTCAGCTACCTTTGTAGAGCTGAGCTTAAACGACCTCATTTCGGAAGGGAATGAAGATCTTGAAGAGAAGAAGAACCCATATCTCTAGTTCCCTCGTTTCTACTCACGAAGGGTTTTCAGCAATTAAGGAAGAGAACAACGGCGAATTCTAACCCCACCGCACCATTGGCTCGGGCACTGACTTGACTCGTTCCAGGCATGTAGCTCTGCTTTATCGCTAGTTACTCTAGCTCTACTCTCTCAAAGCTCCTTGGCTCTGGCTCTACTCGTTCCATGTATTACACTCGTTTGCTCTGACCTTGGGATCTCTATTCCCACTGCTCCAGCTCCTCTAACAGCCAGAAGCCATAAGGCAGGAAGAACGAAGCACTCTCACCTTCCCCTTACTCGTTACAGGAGCGAAGAGGATAGCAACTGCCCTTAGCTCGTAGCTCTTAGTAGCTCAAACAACTCGGAGCTCTTGAACTCCTATATCTGCTCTAACTGCATTAGCTCATCGGTCCTTCAACTACTTGTTCCAAGTATAACGCTCTAGTGCTCTAGCTCTCTAGTTTTCTTTTCATATAATATAACTCAGAAAGGGGATCAAAGGCTTCCTATTCAACGGATTCGGATTATTCGACTTTAGATGCTTCGGATGCTTCTTTTTCCCCTTGCGTTGAAGCAGTGCTACACCCCCGCAGGGAACATCTCCTCATTCAAGCAAGTCTTCATGCGTCTGCACGGTATTTAAGTAATTTTTTCAAGTCAAATGGATGGGACTTCGTTCCAGGAGTTCAGTTCCTAAATAGGAAGAGAAGGGATTCTTTTAAAAATGAATCTCAGATGTCGATTCAATCTGACTCTGGAAATCCCATACATGGTTGCCCATGTTTATAAAAAAGAAAAGTAAACCGTATGGTACCAGTGGCACGACACTCACTTCGCCTTTTCTCCTCAATTTCACCTTCCCTCTCCCTATGGTCGAGTCTCACAAGCCCGGAGAAGCGAGATCTACTGTGGTAGGATTTGGGGCAAGCAGCCCCTGAAAATAGGCCAGGTATGGAAGTGACAGCGGCGAACGGTGATCATTGTCTGATTCCCAACCCCTTGACCCAATGCCGTGTTTTTGACTAGAGAGGACTCGAAGTAAGGGATATATCGCTAAAAATGAAATATATAAGAAAGACATTGAGACTTCTACTGATAGCGAGCGTCAACGGCGAAGGTCGGAAATGGTACCTCGACGAAGGATGTTTTCAAGACAAGACTTGGAGTTATGGTTAACTTACTTGGAGTTCGCCTTGGGGGAAACCTCTCCGAGCGAAACGAAAGACCCTTGCGGGGAACACTCGAGAGAGGAAGCAGACATTCTTATGGAAACTGGTAGAAAAATTGGTACGATTTACATTTACGAATCACAAGGGACATTTTTATACCCGGAGGAACATTATGAAACTGCGCAAAGAGTGAAGCAAACCTTACAACGTTATAAAGAGCTTCAGGACATTATAGCTATCCTTGGGTTGGTAGCATAAAGGTCCAACCAATGAGCGGAGAAATGACAATATTTGAAAGGACTTTCCCTATCAATAAAGAATTCAATTAATCAACGGGGGCCGCTCGAGAACTCACGAACTGAAGAGCTCACGTCACAAACTAAGGATGCTTCCCTGATCGATCTCTAAAAGTGTCGTAGCAGCCCCAAAGACTGAAAGAGAGCCCTTGTTCAAGAGAAGGCGAGGACTTTCTTTTAGCTACCGCTCAAGAGCCACCTACCAGGAAGAGATAGAGAGCATATTCCTCAGCTTGGGAAGCCAAATAGAACATATCCGGACGGAAAGCTGGATCGATCGAATCCCGCCCCAACGGGAGCAGCGGGTAGGGCGCTATTCGATGAAGAAAATAAAGTTTTGGAAAGTGGTTCATGCGTGTAATCAAGACATAATGAGGATCAGTTTGAGTTAAGATGTCCCTAACAAAGGTTTAAGGAAAGTCAACTAGTGATTAACCAAAGTGCATGATGGGTCATTGATTATTTGAATGACTTGGTGTAAGAAATTGTCCCTTTAATGCTCTTGTCTTGCTCCTGCCACCAGACCACGACTCCTGCACTTAGTGCTCTGCAAAGTCCACCAAATCACCTCTAAAAATAGTGCAAGCATGCTGCCCCAAGACCCCTCCCATACGCCTAGGAAAAAGGGGATGTTCTCCACTTCCTTCTCTTGTTTTGTCCGCCCCTCAGCTTATATAAGCCCCCCAATTCAGTATGTGATGGCTCTTGCTTCCTTAATCATTTTAAGACTTAGAAGTTCCAGCAAAATAGAGAGAAAGAGAGCCTAAGGCTGAGAGCAACTCACCTTGGCACCCATGCACGCGCACCAGCCCGGGGAAGAGGAGAAGCAGCCATCTCGTGATCCAAGCCATTTCTTCCGAGGCTTATCGATTTCCAAGCTTTCCTTGGATTTTTATAAGTCTTGGGAGTTCACTTACCACAGCCATTTCCAACCGCAATTAACCCCTAAGCCTCCAAGCTGCGCCTAGCCCTAGCAAGCCCTAGCTTTCGTTTTCTTGCATTTTGGTGAAGGTCAGTCCGAGGCAACTTCTTCCCAAAATTATTTTATGATGTTTTAAGATTTTTAATGAAGAAAAACCGAACCATGCATGTGATTATATGTGAGTTCCGAATTTTTGAAGTTAATGGCCTTAAAACTGAAATTTTAGTTCCAAACATGTTAAAGTCGAGATGAGTAGCTATATGTAATGCCCCGCGCCACCTGACCCGCGCCGACCCGAGCAGCCCCACGCGCGCGCAGGCCGGACACGCACACGGAGCTGGCGGGCGCGCACACAGCATGCACACGCACGGGGCCTACTCGTGCTTTTGGATGACTTAGGATGCCCCATGCCTAAGTCTTGTACATGGAAAGAGCTAGTTTTGTCTAGGAGCTTCTAGAAGGCCCTAGAATTGTATAGACACTTGTAGTAGTGACATGAAGGACCTAGAACCTTGTAGAGGCTTATAGATAGGCAAGAAGTATGTAGAAGTTTCTAGGCCTTGTGTGTATGAAGTAGGACTTTTGTAGAAGGGACTAGAACCCTCAAGACCTTGTAGGACCTAGAAGGTTCCTTAGAGAAGGTGGTGCCTATAAATAGGAGAGGCCCCCTCATTTGCAAAGTATCTAAGCAACCATCAAACTCTCTTATACAAAACCTGTGTGAGTAATAGTACAAGTACTTTCCTTTCATTCTCCCTTGCATACATTTCCCATATTCTCTTGCCAAGCACTTGCACACACCGAGCACGTTCCAGGCACAGTGAGGCTGACTTAGCTAGCTGCGAAGGGCGCACGAGGGGCTAAGGCCGCACGCAACCAAGGTTCGAGAAACAAGGGCGTGACAAGTGGTATCAGAGCCACGTTCGATACCGTGTTAAGTATGGCCGGAGATAAGGAGCAAGACGTGTCCGGGTCGGGGTTAACCGAGGAGCAGACCCGAGGGCGGGAGCCCTCCACCTCGACCAAAGACAAGAAGCGCCGAGACCAAAGCCCAGCTCGCGCCGAGGTCTCGTCGCTAGAACAAGTCGTAGAGGAGATGGGCGAGAAGCTCGAAAGGGTCGAGTTTACCTTCAAGACGTTGGAGACACACGTCCTAGAAGAGCTTCAGTCCGTCAAAGGCACCGTCAATGATGGGCTCGATGCACAGTGCTCCATAGAGAACCGCTTGGACCGCTTAGAGGAGTTTAAGGGCCACATGGAGGACCTCGTGAAGGGCCTCCTAACCAGCATCGAGGGGATGCGTAAGGACATCGAGGAGATGCACAAGGACATCGCCGTTTGCAAGAAGGCGATTGCTAGTGGGGAAACTGGCAGCACCATGCCCGCACCAAGGGTAGAGTGCCCAAAGCCAACAAGCTATAATGGTGTAAGGGACGCCAAAGAAGTTGAGGACTTCTTGTGGAGGATGCAACAATACTTTGAGGGCATAAATCTAACCGACGAGGCAACCAAGGTAAAGACATCTTCCCTTTACCTTTCTGATACTGCTATGTTATGGTGGCGCAGGAAACATGGCGACATTGAGCGAGGCACATGCCGGATAGACACCTGGGACGACTTTGTCTAAGAACTTAAGCGACAATTCTATCCGGAGAACGTAGTATACCAGGCACGACGCAAGTTAAGGGAATTGAAGCAAAAAGGGTCCATAAGAGACTATGTCAAAGAATTCACCACCCTCTTGCTTCAGATCCCCAACATGACTGAGGATAACTCGCTCTTTTTCTTTGTGGACAGACTCCAACACTGGGCAAAACAAGAGCTACAACGCCGGGGCGTCAAGACCGTCGATGACGCAATTGCCGCCGCCGAATCCCTCATCGAGTTTCGCCCATCATCGTCATCTTCCGATGCCACCAAGAAGGATAAGAAGTACCCCACTAAAGGTGGGGGAGACAAAAGGGACAATAAGAGCCGAGACCCCCGAGACCAGCGACGAGCGCCGGCTAAGGAGTATCGAAACGCGGGACGCCGTAGCTAAGAGAAAAAGAAGCAAGCATTCGTCCCAAAAGGAGGCTGCTTCATGTGCAAAGGACCGCATGCCATGAAGGACTGCCCGAAGCTTGGCTCCCTCTCAGCCATCGTGGAGCAGCACGAGTCGGAGACCAAAGAAGAAGCACCCTCAATGATGGGATCACTACAAGTCCTCAATGCCCTCGAGGCCAAGCCCGAGTGTACCACGAATAGCAAGGGGCTCATGTACGTGGAAGCACATATTAACGGGACGCCAACTAAGCCCCTGGTGGACACAGGGGCCAGCCACAATTTTATTACCAAGGAGGAGGCTATAAGGTTGGGACTATCGTGGACCGAAGGAGCCGGATGGCTAAAGACGGTCAATGCCAATGTTCGTAGACTAGAGGGAACCGCGAGCAACGTGGGTCTACGATTAAGGACATGGCAGGGACGCGCGAATTTTTCCGTGGCACCCATGGACGACTTCAAGGTGGTACTTGGCATGGATTTCCTGCGACAGGTAACACGATCCCTATGCCTTCCCTTAGCACTGTTTGCATCTTGGAGAAGGGATCCCCTTACATGGTTCCGACTATCGAGGGGGACAACGGGAGTGCCAGCAAGCAACTCTCCGCAATGCAGCTTGCCAAGGGGGCAAGGCGGGATGAACCGACATACTTGGCAGTGCTAAAGGAGGACAAGTGCGAGGAGAATTCCCCGAAGGTACCACCCATCATTCGAGAAGTCCTTAAGGAGAATAAGGACGTCATGCCGATGGAAATTCCGAGCAAGCTACCACCCAGGCGAGGGGTAGATCACAAGATCGAGTTAGAGTCCGGCACCAAGCCGCCTGCCATGGCCCCGTACCGGATGTCTCCACCCGAACTTGAGGAATTGAGGAAGCAACTTAAGGAGCTCGTGGAGACAGGGAAAATCCGACCGAACAAGGCACTCATGGACCTAGCCAAAGAGAGGAAAACCCAACGCTTCTGGGTAGAGGACGGTCTACTCTACACAAAAGGGCGACGATTGTTCGTACCAAGGTGGGACGGTCTAAGGCGAGACCTCATGAAAGAGTGCCATGATACCAAGTGGGCGGGTCACCCAGGCCAACGGAGGACAGTAGCCTTATTGGAGTCCAATTATTTCTGGCCCCAACTTAAAGACGATGTGGAGACCTACGTGAGAACCTGTCTTGTATGCCAGCAAGACAAGGTCGAGAATAGGCACCCAGCGGGACTGTTAGAGCCTTTGCCGATACCCGCAGGTCCATGGGACTCAATCACGCAAGATTTCATAAGTTCCCTACCACAATCCGAGGGATGCGGCTCAATCATGGTCGTCGTGGACCGATTTTCAAAGTACGGGACATTCATTCCTTGCACCAAGGACTGTCCCGCCGAGGAGGCTGCCTGAGGATTTTTCAAGAACGTGGTCAAGCACTAGGGGTTGCCTAGGAGCATCATCAGCGACAGGGACCCTAGATTCACGGGGCGACTTTGGACAGAACTTTTCAAACTTCTAGGGACTGAGCTCAACTTCTCAACAAGTTTTCACCCCCAGACCGACGGGCAAACCGAGAGGGTCAATGCCCTACTAGAATGCTACTTAAGGAACTTTGTAAGTGCCAACCAAAGGGACTGGGCCAAGTTGATTGATGTGGCCCAATTTTCATATAACTTGCAGAGGAGTGAATCAAATGGGCGTAGCCCATTCGAGGTGGTCACAGGGCGACAACCCTTAACGCCGCACACGATTTCCCTACCCGCAAAGGAAGAAAAGAGCCCTGGGGAGAAAATGGCAAAGACTTGGGAGGAACAAGCCGACCTAGCGCGATCGTACTTGGAGAGGGCCCGCAGAAGAATGAAGAAGTGGGCCGACACCAAGAGGCGTCCACAAGAGTTCTCTCCAGGTGACTTAGTCCTTGTGAAGATATTGCCTCAACAATTCAAGACCTTTCGAAGCTTGCACAAGGGACTTGTGAGGAAGTACAAGGGACCGTTCCCGGTGATCAAGAAAATAGG